TCATTCATTCATTCATTCATTCATTCATTCATTCATTCATTCATTCATTCTCCATTCATTCTTATTTGTATCTCTTCAGATTTTATCATGCATAATTTGTAAATACCCATTTCCTGCCATTTCCTGTCTCTAACCCTCATACCCAAATAATGTGCTACTTTCAGGAAGTCTGGTTAATTCTAGGTGATTAAACAAAGGCACCTTATCATTTGAGTTATTTTTTTATAACGTCTTTGATTCTGAAGGTAAAATGCAGCCTACGAATCTGAGGTACTAAGGATATCATTGAAAAATTATCAGAAGCTTCAAGGGCATTTAATTTACAGGATCACAGACTATAAAGGTAGATGATCTCTTGTGATAAAAAAAGACATGAACTAATTCAGGAACTCACTTCTACAACATCTTTGACAGGTGGTCATTCAGACTTCAACAAGGACTACAGGGAATTATGTTTCTTTTTGCACTGAAGAGTGATTTTTATCAGAAGAAACACTTGCCAGGAATTGTAGAGTTTTCCTTCCAGAAAGAGTAACACAGAATTGAGCACAATAGTCCACGCAAATATTGATTAACTTATCCAAGAATACAATGCAGCTTTGTTATAGGCTTAGTATTAGTTGCTGAGTATATTTTTCTGAGTATAGCTTGGTATAGCTCAAAGGTATTAGTTTTGAATTCAATACCTTGCAGTGGCCTGTTCAGTATCTTCATCCCGAGATAAAATCTTGTATTTTGTCAAACTGGGGAAGCTGAAGCCAGGATATGCTGTTAATTAGTTATAGCCTCAGCCTCACTGAATAATATGTCCTTAGAAATGAGGTTTACATCACCATTACAGTCTTCTGGAAGCTGATTAACATGAGTTCTTCCTGACAGCATTTAGCTGCGATATTTTTGCTTAATGTTTGCTCTGTCATTATTTGATTGTGTAATATCAAATTTTACTTTTTTGCTTCTGGTTGTCAGCAGCTGGTGGTTTTTGATGGATTCATTTTATGCAAATGAAATTAATAAATTCTTAGGCCCCAAATCTGTAACCTGAATTATAATTCAAATTCATTATATTTTAGAAAGGATTCCAGCATTTATGTAGATACAATATCAAAGAAAAATTATTACTATTGTGTAAGTTTTTGCTACTTGCATTGTGTATATGTTTGTTAAAGGTGAGACAGGTTGTTTAAGATACTTATTTTTATTTATTTATATCACACTGTAATTATTTTTCCCAATAACTCAAGACAGCAAACACATATTAGGAAGCCACTAATAGTTTTCAGTGAAAATAAAAATTAATTCTGTCATTTTTTCCTAATGCAGGCTACTGTTAAAATCTACTGTTTTACCTATGATATATAAATGTTCCATAAAAATATCACAAGGGAAGTTTTAACATTAGCAACTATACTGAAATGGATATAACCTATTACAAATGGGACATGTAATTCCCAGAATGCTTTGTGGTTGTAAATCTCATTACTTCTAATAGAACCTCCATAGGCATTGTGTTTTAATTCCTATTTTTAAAATAAAGCTAAGAATCTAGAATTATTGTATTCTGACTAAACTATTAATGAATATTCTTATTAAGTACTTTTTTTAAAGTTTAAAGGATATGGGAAGAAGCAAAAATTATTATCTATTGGCTTATATATATTCTTATGTGTATATTATATACATATTCTCCTTAATATGTGAAATTAGATTTGCTAGTAAGAATCAAAATAGTCTCAGCACTCTTTTAAATATTTGTAAATTTAATGAAAACGTTTTTAACATCTTGTTCTGTTTCAGCTAAGTATGGGTTGTCTTTTTGGGTTTTTTTGTAGAATCTAGTGGATCAAAACTAGTGTGCAGTACAGATAGTCCTCACTTACTGATGATAATTAGCACTGGGAACTTGGTCGCTACACAATGGGGTCATGAGGCATAGAACCATGAGACTGCACTGATTATTGAAGGCTATTCTATTATTCCCAATTGCTGTCATTAGATGGAATTTTGTGCAGTTGCAGTGCCCTGCAGTAACATGATCAGCATTTGAGACTTCCTACTAGCATCCCCATTGACTTTGCTTGTCATAAGCATGCAAGGAAAGTCGCAAATGGCAGTCTCATGCGAATGGAAAACTATGACATTGTCATTGCAAGCCTTTTGCCAAGCACTCATTTTATGATTATGTAACACTAGAAAAACTTCAACAGCCACAACTATGAGGACCTATTGCAAGTACTTTTTGTTCAACACTGTCATTAAGTGTGAGGATTACCTGTACTTAAGAAGATGGTTTGTTGTTCATATAAACTAAACAAATACTGTAATTGATATCGTAGATTTAATGATAATTTAGTAATATCACAGGATCCTTCACTAACTACCATAACACTAACACTAGTTATGTATAAAAATTCAACCAATTTCAGTGTGGTAGAATATGTATTCTTTGAAAACAGTCTTACTTGGAAAAGCCATAATACTGTCTTATTAATCTGTCACTGCATAACATTTCAAAGTTATGCAAAACTAGCACTATGAAAATATTCCTCATTTAATTCCATTTTAACTCCTTCCCCACCCACCCGCCAAAAATACTGATGTCCAGAATAATTTTGTTTGATTTTGTCAGATTAAGAAGAGAACTACCACAACTGATTGAGAACCTTGAATTACCACTGGATGGAAGATAAGAGTTTTTTGAATCTCTTTATGATTTATAGCTTTTCAGTTTGCTAATCCCAGTTCTGGAAGGCTAAAACATGAAAAGAAAAGAGCTAATTCAGCTTTTAGCAAACTGGCACCATCTAGAGATGTTGGTGCTATATTTCCAGAATTCACAGACAAGCTATCAACAATTTTTCAGCAATAATTGAGCATAGTTTATTTTAATAAATGCAGAGAATTAGAATTAACCATAAGTAAAAGCTCAAGCTTCATGAAGAAACAATGGAAAAGGCAGCACATTATAGAATGTTGAATCTTCACATAATTTATAGAGCCTGACATACACTCTTCTTTCTTAAAGTCACCATACCAGCAACCTCCAAGCATGTGAAAAAGTAAATGCTTTAGCCTGGGTCTATGGTAGATGTCTTTCTTCATAACAGACCATTTAGTCTGAAAGAAGATCTCTTGTTTGCTTGAGTCCTTTAATTGTTTCTTTGTGCAAGAGTTTTCTGTTAAATATTAAGGAGCTACTAAATTATGTAGATTAGATTTCTTTGTTATTCTAGAGCCCAATCATATTAATGATTTATTCTGTGGTAGCTAGGCAACTCATGTATAATTAGCCTAGAGCATTTAAAGCTGACAAAAGAGCAGAAATGTATGTTTCTAACTTTTCAAACAAATTTTATCCCGTGGACTTTTCAGAAGTACACAATTTAATTGCTCACTAACAGAACGGAATATCATTTCAATTATTTCTTATATGCATCACAGACATATTTTTCCTAATAAAACTACTGGAATTTCTGTCTATCTCAAATGAGAAGTTTATGATAGAGATTCAGGAGATAATCCAACTTCTTTTTGTAGTCATCACAACTTCATTTTCACTTATTCTTAACTATTCATACTAAATAAAAGATTCAATAAATTAATACCATGTATACTCCCAGATAAACATATTAGTGTATAAACTAGACAAAGTGAACCCAATTTGGGGTAATGCATTTTGGTATATCACACTCTCAGTTTATCCACAGTACACAAACACATACATATCTAAATCTTAAAAGTGTTATGTCTGAGGAATAATAACATGTGTGTATGTATGTATTATATATTAAGTTATATATAGTCCTGAAATATATAACATTGCATTGAGTAGGTTGGAATCATAAAGTAAATTTCTAGAATGCAAAATATCATACTTGTGGAATGCAACATATCTTCCGGTGAATGCCTAGGCATCTCAAATCTCTCTGCATAAAAGTTCTCTTAAGTGTCTACTCAATTCCTATTTTGGATGTTCCCATTTTTCTTCTATGGCAGCAGTCCCCAAACATTTTGGCACCAGGGACTGATTTCATGAAAGACAAATTTTTCCACAGACTGGGGACAGATGGTTGCTCACTCACTGCTCACCTCCAGCCATGTGGCCTATTTCCTAACAAGCCACAGACTGGTACTGGTCCATGGTCCAGACATTGGGGACTCCTGTTCTATGGAATGCCTCATCTGGCAATTTCTTCAATTCTGATATATTAAGAGATTGGGCTTTCACAACCTGTGCTGCCTTTTTGGCATTTAAAAGATGATGACCATGATCATGATCATCATCCCAGGCCATGTAGCCTCAAGGCCTGTGACTAATGTTTCAGCTTCTTCCATTTCTTGGAAGATAGACCAATATCATCAGAGGTACGCAAACGAGCCCCCGCTTTTTTTAAGAAAAAAGGAAACATAGATATAAGCACTCTTTTTAACTTTCAATATTAGAAAAATAAGCTAAGATTGTTATAAGAATAAAATATGTAAGCAAAATAGTTTATAAGGAAAATGTGATTACTGATATTTTGACAAAGAAAGTATGTTAATTATAATTGTCAGCACAAGATATATATACCCAGTCAACATTGACACTGTTTAAATGAAAGATGCACTTGTTGTAAATATAAAATAAAAAACTTTAACAAATATTAAGCTGTTATATTTCACCATTTTAAGGAAATAAGTACAGCGTAAACTTGATCAGAAATACAATGTGTTTTGTTTGGTTTCAATTAGCATATTACATTAATACCCTTATTTGGGATTTTTAAACTGAGTTATGGCATAGTTGCTATATAAGAATCCATATATATAGCTTATCCCACAAATTTTGCTATAATAGGTAAACCAGGTGTCTGACCATAATCACACACACAAAATATTTTTTTTAAAAAAACCTTACTATAGTGTTGTATACATGTCATCCAGATCAGTGGTCATATAATGCTTTAACTTTTGAAGGTCTGAAAATTTTATGTGTCATTGGCTTACAGCCATGGCTTTCCTTGTCACCTGAATCCTGATTAATGACTGATTTATGGGTCTTGATTCATCAGCCTGACTGTCAGTTAAGAGATGCTGCTTCTTCAGGAGCATTTCTGCTCTTTTGCTATTGTTGTTCACTCCTACAGGGATGTGAAGGAACTGGATTAGCCTTGTCTTGTCTGATATGCCGTTCATGTATAACTTAATTATTCATAGTTAACATAAAATACAGATCACCTTGTAATAAGAAGCTGGTTCATTTGTCCAAAATTATTATCATTTTCTGCATAGATACTTGCATTAAGCAATATAAATATATAATGAAGGATGTCATTTTAGCTACTAGATTGGACTGTCTTGATCTGGAATAAAGTGGTTTGTCCTTTCAACATATGGCAAAACTTCATCTTCATCTTCAGCAGATCTTATGCCATGTGTATCAAATAAAAATCATAAAATTCTATTATAGGAGAAATAGTTTGTGTTAGATTTATCTCTAGTATGTTGTATTCTTGTTTAAAGAAACTACCCAAATAGAGGATCCTCGGGTGCAATGGCGGCAGGAACAGGAACACATGCTGAAGGACTATCTTATAATGGCCCAAGAAGCCTTAACTGCACAGAAGGAGGTTTACCAGGTCAAGCAACAGAGACTTGAATTGGCCCAGCAGGAATACAAGCAACTTCATGATGTCTGGGAACACAAACTGGGGTCTCAGACCAGCTGTACGTATCTTAAATTATAATTTATTTTTCCTCTGAGAGCCAAGTTTTGGCTTTAATGACTAGATTGTATGTTTTCAGAAATGGGGGAATAACATTTTTTCTTTCTTTCTCCCTTCTAACACATCTCGGAAAAATCTTTCATGTAACCTGAGAGCATTTCTTCCCCAATAGTTAATTTATATCTTTGCAGACTACATTCCATACGCAGGTTTCATTCTACAAATCTTTGCACTTCCACTTTTCATGTACAGGTAGTCCTCACTTAGCAACTGCCTCATACAGTGACTGTTCACAATTATAATGGATGAAAAAGTAACTTTGCAATGCACATTTATGATCTTTGTAGATCTGAAAAGCAAAGGAAATCTGAAGTGAGATCATAAGGACGGTTGGCATTTTATTTAGTGACCACTTAAGTAACAACCATGTTTCCATTCCCAATTGTGCTCACTATACAAGGACTAACTGTAACACATTATTTTGTAGAGTCACACCATCCACTGTATTTTTTCCCTGTATTATGCAGATGTTTTTCTTTTTAATATTAAATTCTACTGTTCTAATGAAAATAGCTTGGAAGGTGGAAGGTACTCCAGATTTTATTTGAATTACCTGGTCTAATAAATGAAATACCTCTGTATGTTTTTTAAAAAAAACATAGCTCTGAAACTTCAGAATTTGTTTAAAAGGAGAAAATAAATGAAACAGCTTAATTTTGATAAAGCTCCTTCCCATCTCTTCTATTTTGAAATGCTTAAGATGTCCAACTAAATATGTGGTTTCTGGCCGTTTAATTGCTTTTACATTTAAAAAAAAAAAAGTTTTGTTTTACATTTGTTCCCATTTCCTTAACTTTTTGCTGTTTTTTTTTTCATTTTCCTCTCTTACTGTAGTAGCCTCCAGTTCATCCTCTAGCTCAAAATATGATCCAGAAATTCTTAAAGCTGAAATTGCTACCACAAAATCTAGGGTAAGATAAAATGATTTGTAAAATATTTAATCAACCTATTGTTGGCTGTTTCCTTCTAAGTGAAGTGCCATAAGGATTCACTTTATTTTGAATCTATTTATGTAGCATTCACATGTTGTTATTAAGTGCTGTAGTCATTGAAGCTGTTGGATTCATACATTTAAAAACATAGAAACCTCAACTTCCTCTTTACATTCCATAGTGATATATTGTATATGGAAACTTGGATTGAATTAAAACAAGTCCCTTTTTTATATCTGTCTGGAATTCTGACTTTGGATCGGTCAGCAGCTGGTACAACTAATCAGGATCAAAGATCAATGATAAGGAACTTGACTAAATACAAAGTTTCATACAGGCCTGTGCAAAGCTTCCAAGGAGTGCTTCGCTATAATTGCTTTGACAAAGCAGATATTTGATGCAGTTGTCGTCTGTTGAATTTTGAATGTCAGCAGTGTTTGTGAATATATTTATTAAAGTGAAATGCGTAGATACTGCCATCTACCACAACATATCTCAACTGGAGATGTCAAGATAGGGCACCTTGTTTTTCTGCATAAGCAATACTTCGAAGTGGATCTGACCAACAGGTAGAATGAAGGCAGTGCCAAAAAGTGTATGGTGTCACTTTGAACTTCTTTAGCCTTTGTATTATTACAAATATAACAAACTAATTATATTTCAATATGATTTGTTTGAAAATAATCCATAGAAATGTTTTACTTTATTTAAATCCCCTGAAATCTATTTTATCTGCATAGGCAAACAATTAATCATTACAGGTAGTCCTTGATTAATGACTGCCTTGTTTAGTGATCATTCAAATTATTACCACAGTGAAAAAGTAACTTTATGACTGGTCCTTGTACTTAGGACTGTTGCAGCATCCCTGTAATGACATGATAAACATTTGAATGGTTTGCACAAGAGGCCTCTGTTATATAATCACTATCTGCTACACTCACAATCCACTTCCAAAAGTAGAGTTGAGGGAGAAATCAGTAAAATTGCAGTTATATGATATCTCTCTTAATAACTGTGTTGTTTGGCAGTGGAGATGCCAGCCCTAATTATGTCATCAAATGAAATTATTAGAGAATGATACAAACAGCTAGGGGGGGAAAGGAAATATACTAGTAGCTAAAATTGCAGGGGAGAATCCTGGTGCTCTGTATGGGAACATCTGGTATACTAATTATGACTTCAAATTGAAAGCCCCAATACATGTTTTATCAATGAATTGAAAGAAGTTAATCTCTAATACTAAGTAGATAGACAGAAGAACACTATATGGGCACACTATTTTCTTTAAATCTTGATGGATTTTAAAAAAGAAACATAGTACATGCTGGCTAAAATAAAACATTTTGTTTCACTTATCTATAGGTTAATAAACTCAAAAGAGAAGTTGCTCACATGAGACAGGAACTCCAGTATAAGGAACATGGTTTTCAAACACTGAAGAAGTAAGTGAATAGCAGTGCCTCCTCATCTATCTATCTATCTATCTATCTATCTATCTATCTATCTATCTATATATATATATATATATCTAATAAATAATTCATATATATATATATATTGGGCTAGTTGAAAAATGTAGATTCTTGTCATTATTGACTGGAGAATTGAAATTAAAGAAATTGTGAGTATGATGCAAAAAGATCAGCCTCTGAACACAAAAAATGGTGAAAAGTTTGAAGAAAAGTTTGAGGAACAGGACTTAAAGAAGTATGCAGGTTTTGCATATTATATGATGGGTTGCACTACAAAACAAGAGTAGAGATAATACAAATAAGGTAGAATAAAGGTGTCAGGTTCTGTCGCAACCCTGAAAGAAACCACAACAGCCTTGAAGTAAGTCGTTCTTCCAGATAGTGCCGGCACTTTACTGACCAGCAAGCAAGCGATACAAGCTAGCCCCAATTAAACTCAGTGCTAACTCCAAATCAATCACATCACCTTTATTTACCTGATGTGCCCTGCTCCAACCATCCCGGCACCCATGCACATGCCCAATCACCCTTACCAGTGGTCCACCCCTCCTGTGCCCATCAGCTGCTTGCCATGTCACTGCAAAGTTCTGGGGCTTCGTAGCTGTTGAGACGCTGTAGATGGAAAATCGACGGCTCAAAAATCCCAATTTCAACCCCACTTTAATAGATGTATTCCTTTCCTTAACTCTCTTACAGTGAGTAATGGTTTTTCTTTCCTTTTATCTAAAGAATTGATATGAAAATGTCTGATACCCAAGGTGGATATAAACTTGATGAAGCACAAGCCATTTTAAATGAAATGAAAGCTATCAAGAAAGCTATCACTTCAGGAGAGCAAGAAAAGCAAGATCTTATTGAGGTATGTAATCAGTTTAATGAAATAATTAAACATACATTAAAAACTATCATAATAATTCTGAGTTTCTTCAAGTAGATAAATGTTTATTTCTAACCTATACATAAAATTAACTTTATATAGAAATGCTGGTTAAAAATCAACCATTCTCATTGTTGATAATTTTCTATAAAGGTGAAATAATTGCCCATCTGTAGCCTAACTTCTGCTTTGATAAAATAATAAATAAATAACTAAATTTAATTTTAAATGTCCTTTCAGATTTATACAATTCATTTATTTTTAAGTGTTTATTCCTTCATTACATTCTTTACTTTTAGGTGTCTCCTTCAAAACAACAATGCAATTAGAAGGTAATAAGATGATAGGTGTTCTTTTTTCTCATTTCAGAGTCTTGCCAGACTAAAAGCTAATTTTGTGGCAAATAAAAGATCACATTCAGACTTGTGGACCAATAGCACTTCCTTGGGAAGTTGCCATTGCCCTAGGACGTACTTGGATGCTGGCTCCCAAACAGATGTTTCTGGAAATGTATGTATCTCATCTTTAAGCATGTTCTTTAATAGCCTGATGACTTTTCATAGATCCAATGTACAGATGTTTGGAATATAATTTTTGTAGCATTTATCTATATAACTTTGTTTTATATAATACTTCTATGTTTCTTGAAAACAAAGTTAATGAATGAAATGTGTCTTTGAATTCTTGTGAATTTTGGCTCTGACCTTCTAATGATTAACATTTTCTCTTGTCAGTTTTTTGTGAACTGCAATAATCACTTGGCTGAGAAAGTAAGAGTGCGTCTTCAATATGAAGATGCTAAGCGAAGGTAATTAGTTTTTTTTTTTATTACTCTTGGCAATTCAGAAAGCAGCTGATATCTACCATAAAAGAATATATTTCTGGCAACATTTCTTCAGCAAAGTGGTCATTTTCTAAAAACAGATCACTTGTTTATTTACCTCCATCTATGCTTTAAATGCTGTTATGCAATTATATGCTTTTCATACTTATATTTTCATACTTATATTTCATAATTATATGCTTTTTTGTCAGTTGCAATTAATTAATTGTAAACAAAGTGCTTTTATATTGTAAGAATTGTGAAATAATAGTGACCTGGTAGCCTTTTCTTTAACGCTGAGGTATAGTTCCACTCTGATTTTAACAACAAGAAAATATTGCCACTCTCTTAATTTAAAAATAAATAAATACATGAAGCAGCCTAAATTGACATGGTATGTTTAGAATAGCAGATCTGTCTTATAAGGATTAAAGGGCGTGGTAAGCAATTCTTGTACATTTGTCTTTTTGCTCTCTCTCTCTCTCTCTCTCTCTCTCTCTCTCTCTCTCTCTCTGATTGAGATAGAAATAATTTCTATTGTTGCAGTAGCCAACTCACTTTGTGCTTCCTCCAACTGACGTTTATTAATTTATTAATTTTATTTAGAAAAAATTATTGGCCACCCATCTTATCTCAGGGCAATTCTGGGCATCTATTCTAATATTCTAACGTAAAGCATATCATTTAGAAAAAAATATATTTATTGGAAAAAAATATTTGAAATGTTTCAAATATTTTTTTTCTAATAAATTTTTTTTTTATCTGATGATAGATGATAGATAGATAGATAATCCAAGAACACTTGTTTCAATCTTATACAAAAATAAATTGCACCTTTATAGTTTTGTTTCTATGAAAACATCCTTCTGCAGGACGTATAGCATAACTCTTTAATTATAAGCAGGGGTGGGATTCAGCAGGTTTGGGCTGGTTCGGGCGAAACGGAGGTTAAATTTATATCTGGTTCACTGAACCGGTAGTTGAATTGGTCGGCTGGCCCCGCCCACCCCTCCCCTCCCAGGAGTCTCCACGTGGCCCGTTTTGGATGCAGGTAAGTACAGGGTTTGTGCAGAGACTCTGGGAGGGTGAAAAACGGCCCTCCCAGAAGTTCTAGAAGTCCGGAAACGGTCCTGTTCTGGCTTCCAGAGGTTCTCCAGGGCCTAGAGGAGGCTGTTTTCACCCTCCCAGAGGCCCAAGGGAAGCCTCCGGATTCTGGGGAAGGTAAAAAATGGCCCTCCCGGAAGTTTCGGTGGGCCATGGCCACCATGGCCATGCCCACCAAGCAACTGGGAAGAGAACCGGTTGTTGGGATTTTTGAACCCCACCCCTGGTTATAAGGTTGTGTAAGGCATCAGAAATAATATAAAACCATGTGTTTCAGATATTTACATTAAGGAAAGTAAATTAAGCATCTGTCTGCAAGTTTTTAAAGGAATTTTGTCTCTTCCTGGGATCCTGCATATGTCCTCCCCAATTTCTACAGGGAGAATACCATGTATAGCAGGAAGGAAGGAGGGAGGGAGAGTGGGAAGGGAGGAAGGAAGGAAGGAAGGAAGAAAGGCAGGCAGGCAGGCAGGCTACTTGATCCTTGTGTCCTTGATACAAATATCAATTCACATTTCTTGGCGAATTTTTCACTGATTATCATATTAATCAGTGTTGCATTATCATAGATTTAGGACATTATCCGAAAACCCATCTCTCTTGAGTTATTGCTGGAAAATCTAGTTCTTCCTAATTTTCCCAGTTCTTTGTGGCAAAACTAAAAAGAAACTGAAAAAGGCAACAAACACTAATGAGTTGAATGAGTGCATTCCATCGGAGCACCATTGGAAGACCTGAAGGGTCAGGTGGGGAAAAATCCTCTTGGAGAAAATCTGTGGTCAGCAGTTCCAAATAGGAACAAGATGATATCATGCTTTCAAATATCAAAAATACAAACTCTGAAAATGTGTGTGTGTGTGTATGTGTGTGTATACACTTCAACAAGGTGTTTCGGTACACCTGGAGTACAGTTTAATACCTATCTGCAACTCCTTTAAAGCAACTGTTTTTTTCCTAGGATTGCATGGCTCCCTTTCTCAGGTGCCATGCACTCCTGGGAAGAGATGCACTTGATTAAATAAATCGCAGTCAGGTTCTCCAGAAGACATTTCCTGACAGAACAATTAACCAGTGGAGCAACCTGCTTCCAGAAGTTGTAAATGCTCCAACACTGGGAGTTTTTAAGAAGAGATTGGATAACCATTTGTCTGAAATGCTATAGGGTTTCCTGCCTAAGCAGGGGGTTGGACTAGAAGACCTCCAAGGTCCCTTCCAAATCTACTATTATTCTATTCTATTCTATTCTATTCTATTCTATTCTATTCTATTCTATTCTATTCTA